CCAAAACCGGCGCACGAAAGTGCATGGATAATGGTTGTGAAACTGAAAACTGACTGAGTTATGACAAACGGCAACCTAAGTCCTGATACCTGGAGGTGGAAAATCATGTGAGGATCCGACAGAATGTACAGGCAGAAGCATACGCGAATAAATGTTCCTTCGATATATCGTAGCAAGCGGCCACACAAATCCGTCAGGTATATCCGGTGTTAGTGCAGACATTTAATTGATAGTATAGCTCAGTTTATGGCGGTAACGGTTCATATTATCAAGTGCAGTTGAGCATCAGAAGGCCCTTAGTAGTCAATAAGGGTAGTAGGCAAAAGGTTAACTAGCTAGCAGCAAAGAAGCGGGTATATTGATTTAAATGTCCATAAGGTGCGGAAAAAGAAACAATGCTACTTAATTTAGGCTGGAGATTGTAAGTGATGAATATACTTCGCATAGTGCACTTAGGGCCTATAAAAAATCCCTCCTCGAAAAGGTATCATGTGGCGTCAATCATCCCCGGCTTTTTCACATCAGTCCGGTTAAAAATTCTCGGCTGATGATGAAATGCAAGTAAAAGGTTATGTTTTAATTCAGTGTGTGGTTACAATGCGCAAAACACCTAGCATTGATGTGAGAATGTGACGGACATCCCATTCCATGCTCCGATCAAAGCGGTTCTCACCCAATGAACAGTCTACGTACGACAGATTATGTTGGACATTTAATCTGTACCTCTCGTAACGGAATTTCGCAATCAAACATAGCTAGGCAGTGCATTGTTTTCTGGTGTGCCATCCACAATAGACTTGAACTATTCGGCTCGAGAATTCGCGGTCTATTTATTGAATGTATTAATGATACCATTTTCAATAAAGGAGAATCAACCAATCCAAAGGCTGTCACACAACACAGAATGGGGAAAGTAAGGCAGTGGCGGTGGTGGAATTCGAACACACGTCCCCCGGGGCAGATTGGGGAATGCTTTGCTGAGACGGGTGCCACGCTGAGCAGCCGACTGGTTAGAAGCAGGGTCAGCTCAGTTCAGTGTGTACAATCATTAACCACGCACCTTCGTCCGGCGTTTTAGTTGCTGTCTTTTGGCTACCCATTTGGATGAACAATAGGAGGCAGACAGGAAAATGGGAATTTCGGTGGACTAAGGTTGCAAAGAAATCGAAAAGATGCACGAACGCCACTGTTTACGACACTTAGCCATATCACTCACTGTGTCTAATCATGGATTACGATCATCCCGATGTCCCCAACCGGGACCACACGTGACCCAGTCCCATAGTTGGCAATTTCATACAATCGTGTCAGGTCTTGGGTTGACTAACCTGGGCTTTATTCCACCCACTACCTGCCTCGGCAAGCATCGCTCGCCGTGGCAACCTACTTGATGAGATGCATAACACATACCCCAACCAACGTAATCAATGGAAGTCGACCACTTGCTCCAGTGGGCGACCGCGGTGGCCTAAAACTTTTCGCCTGACCTCGGCATTGCTCGTCCGGATGCCCCACCAGATTCGTCCAATGCTGCGTAGACAGCGATGTTCAAACACCGACAGTCTGTCTTTGTCCTGTTTTCTTAATGACCAAGTTTCTGCGCCATATAGCAGAACTGACCGAACTGCCGCAGCATACACTCGAACCTTAACAGACAGCCGGATGTCGCGACGGCGCCACAAATACCAACCGAGCCTTCTGTATGCGAGCTGACACTTCATTCGTGATGCGTCCACCGGATGAGATGTAGCTTCCCAGATAACAAAACTTATCCACCTGCTCTATTACTTCCCCAGTTAGAGTGAAGCTGGGTGCTGGACCGATCCAGTCTTGTAGTAACAGTTTACACTTGGAAGGTGCAAAACGCATACCGAACATGGCTTCGCTGGCGCTCAAGCGATCCAGAAAAGCTTGCAACTTACCTGGATCTTCGCTTAGCAGCACAACGTCTGCATGCTCCAGATCAGACAGTCTGCCATCTGGGAGCAAATCGATGCCACTATCCTGGCACGAGGATAGGACTGTTTCCATAATTAGATCTATAACAAAGTTAAACAGAAACGAACAGAGAGGGCAGCCCTGACGAACTCCACTTTCCGTGGTGAACTCGGTCGAAAAAGAGCCGTAAGCTGGGGCTCGACTTCGGCTATGAGTATGGAGCGATAATAATAGTGAAATGAACTTATCGGGCATACACTTCAGAGAAAGGCAGCGCCAGAGTTTAGAGCGGTCGACTGAGTCAAAATCCGCCTTAAGATCCAGGAAGAGAGATTGTCGATAATCCAGAGTTTGGCGAAGAGTGAAGATGTATGTGGTCGACACAACCTCGACTAGGTCTAAAACCAGCCTGGTTCTCACGCATGCACTCTTCACGTGCGTCAGACTATCGACGGAGTATGATACCAGCGAGAATTTTAGAGACGACGTTGATTAGACTAAATCCTCTGTGGTTTTCACAAGAGGATCTGTCACCTTTCTTGTAAATCGGTATGATCACCGATTCACACCATTCAGCTGGAACCTCTTCTCTTTCCCATATTGAGCCCAGCAGTTTCGTCAACTCCGAAACCAATGCTAAACCTCCATACTTAAGAACGGATGGGAACAGTCTATCTGGGCCGGAGGCCTTCTGCCTTTCTAGATAGCTTATTTCCCGGGAAACCTCCATTTCAGGTGGAGGACGAGCATCAACTGTGAGTATTTGCCCATTCGAGGTGGGGGAGGAGAGTGATAGGTCAAATGTCGATGGACCCAGTTGAACTGAGCCTCGAAGTGTTCAGGTCATCGATCAAGACGGCGTTGCTGATCGTGAATCAGTGTGCAATCGGATTCCTAATTACCTCATTTACGTCCGATTCCTGGAACCGTATTCCTAATTAGACGCAGTATTCTCCATCTCCTTACACGTTTTTACCCACCACTTCTCGCGGTCATTCCTGAGATTCTTGATAAGCTGGCGTTTGAGGGGTTTGCGCGCTGTCATATGTGGCATCGGGAGGAAGGGTTCTGCGGGCGTCTAGCAGGGCAACCGAGGTCGATGAGTTCCGTCGTTTGTTTTTGATGCCTGCGACAGGGTCCGCCGTCGTTTTTATCGATATTTGNTTTTATCGATATTTGCATAGCTTCCTTGATTTGCTTCCAATGTTCATTGAGTCCTCCGGCCGGTGGTTGAACTGAGAGGCGATCGGAGAGTTCCGCTTCGAAGGTCGATTTGCAACAGTCACTGACGTTGTTTCGTAGGTATCCGTTGTCGGTGGCTTTTTTACGGTTGTTTGCCGGGCGTAAGGAGAATTTAGCTCGTAATAAAATATCGTCTGTATCCACAGCTATTGACCAGTGAGAGCAGTGGTCTTGAATTGATCCCCTCCAGCGGTAACTGATATCGATGTGGTCGATTTGGATCTATCGCAGTGAACAGGTTGGCGGTGTCGTTTCTTGTGCGAGCAGTTCGTGAATGACAGGAACAGTCCATGGTCCGCGCAGAGTTGAATTAGGCTATCTCCGTTGTCCGTCCAGTTGGCTGGGATTGAATGTGGTTCGCCAAGACGCTTTTCAGATTCGTCCAGGGATCCCACTTGAGCATTGAAGTCCCCGGCGATTACTACGACGTCCGCTGATTAAACACTTTGGAGTACTTCATAAAGGTCCCTGATTTCTGGTCTACTGTAATCGGTCGGTGCATAAACCGATACGACGAACAAGCATTGACGTTAGAAGTAGGTGGCGAATACTCCGCTAAGTGGTGGCGACCAAATCCGAATCACCAAGTAATAAATAGTATACTGCTTGTTTACTTCGACGTACCCATAGATTTATTTGAATTTTTCCTGATAACTTTCGTTTTCGCATCTGTCAACTAATGATAACCAGATCAATTAAACGACTTGTGGTTGTAGATGTAACATACAGCACCGTTCTTTTTCCTTGGTGGGGGGTATGCATTTTTATTGGTCTAATACGTACTTGTCATCAGCTGTTTATGACCGAACCAATGACGAACGTTCCAATCCTTCGCAGTGTTGTATTCTAACCGGTGCTAGTAAAACCCGATAATTTTAGTGTGCAAATGTATAATGCAATAAATGTGATATTTCCCCCCATTTCTCTATTTGTTTCACTCCCACTTCGGCATGTATAATAATGTATTTGATAAATTGATCAAGCGTCCAAAAGGAGCTTGTTTATCTTTTTGTCTCCTGTTTCATATGTGTCTGTTGCGCTTCCATTGTTCTTATTTAGCTTCCTGCCTCAAAAGCAATCAATGTGATCAACCAATTCTGTGCTCGACTTCCCAGCGACTACATTACCAATCTGACTCCACGCTGGCATCTCAAACTGATCCGTCCACCTGAAAACTGGGATCCTCCGTCTCAAGGACCGGGTGCTTCCTGTGGTTTCGAATGGGAATTAGCCGCGGCAAAGTCAAACGGGTTGCACCAGTGTGTTCTTCGCCTGCCAATTAACACTTCAATCAAAGATGAGATTCAGGTAAACTGAATGAACGGTTCTGGATTCTCGGTGTTTCTGTGGCGAGTAATTTTTTCCCATCACCTGCAACCAGCTCGATCAATTTTACTCAAGTCGGTCTTCTGGTGACCAGTCGCGAAATAAATAGAGAGCATTAAACAATCTCCTTACTCTATAGGTGTGCTGATAAAGACGGTGTTCATGCCTGTCTCAAAGAGCGAAATCACTACCTCGACCGTTACCGTTCACGAGAAACTATATCATACGACCAGGTGTCTACATTTATTCAACATGTAATACCACACAAACATCCGATGACCGGAATGCAGCACTTGGATAGGTTGAAAATTAATGAAGTTCAATTACAACTCGTTTGTCATGGGTCCTAAATAAATACATTTAGCGTCCATTCCTATCTGGATGGGTCTTATCATTGTCATTTTGAATTAAAAAAAAACCAATTCAATCTGGATCACTTATTTTTTGTCCAAGAGTATCAGCACTGTTCGTACAGTGAGTGCGATCGTTTCAGTGGGAAACAGCCTGAATCAAACACTTAGAAAGTAGATGATTGACTGAAGGATTTACAGACTGTGTGTGCAGATGAAGTACAGAGGATAGATAGTCAAGGGCAAAATATTACTTATCCCACATCATGACACGCCCATAGTTGTGCATCAGAATATGCATAAAATTACTTCAATTTTTGTGTATGTATATGCTGCATTTTAGGGTGAACCCATGGCCTGTAAAAAACTTGCCAAAATGTCTGCCGCACTGAACGCTGTCCGTGCCTTGTACGCAGTCGGCGAATTGGACTCACGATGGGAACCATCCACACGGGATCCGATCAGCACTGTCCGGACGAATCGGGGTGCAATCGGTTCGGAAAACCGTTTATCCCGTACCCAATCCTATGCTTCCTCTTTGGCAACCGAATCTGACGCGGAATCGGAACTGAGCGAATTGTTGACCACTTGTAATCCAGACATTAGTCAGGATGCGATCGGATTGGACGGGTCAAGTCGTTGTCGAAGATATTACTACAGAAAAGTAAGTCAATCACGATACAACTTTAACAGTTTTGCCATTTTACTGTTGCTCTCAAAATCAAATCGATGTTGATTCATTCGGACGGGATTTTTGTGGGAGGAACTTGAAGAAGTTTCGTGTAAAAGTTATTTACTTTACACAGCAAAATGATCATTGATAGAGGACACATTTTTCCTGCGCCATTTATCAACATGCGAAGTAAACAGTTAACGCTACAACAGCCGTTCATTGGGTTGTATTTCTGCGGTCCCATGATGTTAGATGTTCCTCAGAATTAGTACAAAACGCATAAGCTCAAATGATCCAGCCTATTGACCTGGTATTGTAATACCTGAACCTTTTTAGACTTATGTGACAGATAACATCCTCCGGTTCACAGAAACTAGCCATAAGGGTTGGTATTTCGTAGTCGTAATTGAGGAATCCGATTGCACACTGATTCACGATCAGCAACGCCGTCTTGATCGATGACCTGAAC